CTCAGAGAACCCCAAGGACTCCACAGTTCAACCCTGAGCTACATATATTCTCTTTTATTGGTGTCAGGAAATGTGGCCCACACATATAGAAAGAATGTAATATAAGTTTGAAAACAAGCCCTTGCAAAATTAAAAAAAAGTAAATTGATTAGTTCACATTATACAGAGACACTAGCTATTGAAGAGGTGCATTTGAACTGCAGAACTGATATATTACTGGGGAAAGGGGGAAATGAGAGCTGTGCAGACGAGTTCAAATGGATGTTAAGAATGGATGTTAAGAGCACACATGGGTGGGCAGGTAGCCTCTGTTGGGAACACTTTAAAACACCTGTGTCTTTTTTAAGGGTCACCCAGGTGCCCTGCACAGTTGATGCAGAGTCTCAAGGAAATATGGTTTAGTTTAAGGAGTTTCCAAAGGATGCATCCCCACATGCGGTCCCAATAACATTTTGCCCTTTGAAACCAGATCCTTTGCACATCCTATTAGAAATGCTTAAAAATTATTTTTGAAAGCAAGCATAGATGAAGATTCTTCAGAGAAAGAGCACGTAATACTATCAATTGTATGCTACTGTGCAGCTATTTCAGGCTTGCTTTCTTAACCATTTTTTTCATAGAGAAAATGCTAAAAGTAGTTGTAAAATACAGGATATTCAGTTTCACACATAAAGCTAATCTGTAAGTACCTCAAAAGAGCTGTAAATTTCTTTTGGAAAGAAGAAAGGATGTTGTTATAAACCTTTCTACTTCCATGTACACACTGGAGCATGACAGCTGTAGTAATCTGTATCTTGGGTTAAACAAGGAGTCTGACCATCAAACATGTTTGGCAAATTTTGCCTTTATCTTTCACTTCCCACCAGAGATCAAGCACTTGCTATTCCATATTCAAATTTCTCTGCAGCATTAGATATGTAGCTTGCATAACCATTCTTTTGATTAGAAGAAAACTGTCACTAAATGTTTACAGAAATTACAGGAGCTTTACAAACAATTTACACCACAAATTGTTTGTTACATTTCCCCACCATTCATTGGCCTGGCTCACACATCATGCTTCAATTGATGCATATTTGATATAGCATCTACCCATATTTTCTTTATTGTCATGGTAGTAAATAAAAATTGGATTTACTTGATTGATTACTTTGTCAGTGCATCCATGCAGCTTTCCTGGCAATAACAGGCTAGTGATTTTTCCACTGCCTTTTTTGGGGGGAGAGGAGTTTTTCAACTTCCCATTTTGCCCTGTGTCATCTAATTTTCCAAACCGAGTACCAGCCAGGCCTGATCTTAATTCAAGCATAGCCAAGGCTGGCAAGGGGCTGTCATTTACCATAGTTCTCTGTGGCAGTCAGTTCCAAATTCCTAGTTGAGCAATAACTGAGCAAGCTCCGGGAGGCAGTGAAGGACAGGAAGGCCTGGCGTGATATGGTTCATGGGGTCACGAAGAGACCACGAAGAACAACGAAGACCAAACGCCACCACTTTCACCAACTCTCCAGATGTTCCATGAGTCTACCTAAGCAGCTGGGATGCAAATCACACTTGTACATGAATATGTGCAGGGAGGCAGACACCTTAAACCCGCTAAGATACAGTCTATTTTGAGACACGCTCGGCCTCTGAGGACATCAATATTCACTTATTTGATTTATATCCCACCTTTTGTTCAAGAGTTCAGAGTGGTGCGCATAGCCCACCCTCCTGCTTACCCCCCACCACAACTTCCCCGTGAGGTAGCTTGGGCTGCCAGAGAGTGATGGGTCATGAAGGCACCTGGCTAAGGACGGACTAGAACCTGAGTCTCTCCATTCATGCTGCACCACCTACACCCTGGCTCCACTTTCTTCATTAATACATTCATATGGTTTTTTGACAATAGTAGAGAAGCAGTTTGCTACTCCCTGCTTCCTTTTTCCCCCCCCCTTCTGCCCAGTCAAGCTGACACCCCTGGGATTTCCTGGTGGTCTCCCATCCAATAATGAGGCGTGACCAAGCCAGGCATAAGCAGGAGCGGGACTTTCTGAAAGAAGCTCTATTCCTGAATCCGGAGGTGCAGCTCTCCGCCAAGAGTTCTGAGCTGCAAAAACCGCTTTGTACGGCGCGGGATCCAGCTGAGTCTAAACCAGTTCATCTTACCGGCGGGACTACCCTTTCTGACTCGCGTTACTCTTTCCCAGGACCCTTCTCCGCTGCTGGAGTCTCGAGTAGCCTAGCAACCAACTCGCCCGTTAGCGTCATCCGTTCCCAAGGAGACCACTTCTCCGCCCTTTTCCTCATGGTTACGGATCCCGCCCCTTCCGATTGCGCAACGCACGGTTCCGTCAGCCGCTCCATCCGCCTTCCTCAGCCGCCCATTGGTGAAGTCTCAGAGCACGACTTGCATTCCGGGACTTGTAGTTGAAATGTCACAGCTGGCTGCGTGTCTGCGCGGACAGAAAACCTCAATTCCCAGCAGCCACCGCTTCAGGTTTGACATATCCGGGCGGCATGATACTGCAGCGGCCAATCCGTTCCCGTGCCGCTCTCCGGTTTGATGCTACGTACGTTTTGGGGGGAAACGCACGGAATGGACTCGTGAGGGGCTCCTAATCCAGCTGCAGAAACTGGGGAACGGAAGGCTCTGTCAGTGTCTGTTCTAGGATGGGGTCTTAGCAAAAAAACCCCGCCGAAGAAGGACTCAGCAACATTATGCTTCGCACGTTGCCAGGATGGTGCTGCCTGGCGGGGAAGGTGGTAGCGAGGAGCAGTCGTGGTTTGCTGAAGGGGCGAAGGCCCTGCGTCGGCGGCCCCCCTCAAGCGGGCCGGTTCATGAGCAGCCCTGGCAGTCCACACCTGGGTCCGGCTGGCCCTGAAGAGGAGGACGCGCTTCTCAAAGAGTGGGCCTTGGTCGTCAGCCCCTTCGGCCTGCTGAAGGCGTGTCTGCCTTGCCACCTCACGGTGGGCCCCCTGGACCCACATAAGTACCCTGATTCTGACAGGGTTCTTGTGGCACTCAGGGGGAGGCGCTCCGTTCCCCAGCCTGCCTCAGATCGGCCCTTGCTTGTGAACTACGACGAGGCCCAGAAGGAGGTGACGATCGTCTCCGATGGCATGGACAACACAGCTTCTCTGGATGTGAGGATTCCCATAAAATATGGTAGGTACCGAAGGTGGATGGAAGGATGGAATGCGTCGGCGAGGCCGAGCTGCTGCTTCTAGTGCCATAATTCGTATGTCCGGTGCATTTGCAGATGTGAACTTTTCTTTCAGTGGAGCCATTCATCTTCTTCCCAGCTGGATGTCTTCACCGTCTTCCATTCTCTCCACTGTCCATCACAAGCATTGCTCTGCTGTGCCGACTGCTCAGTGAGAGGCCTTGACGGAATCAGAAAGATTTTCCAAAACCTTAACATTGTAGCCAGTTAGGAAGAAGGCAGTGGCAAATCGGTTTCGTACCAAACCAAGAAAACTTCATGGATGTGTGCACGTAAGCCACCAAGAATCAATTTGATCTAAAGGCAACTGTTCTTTTTAACTGCTAGCCAAACCAAGGAAAGTCTCCTTTAAAAAAAAAAAAACAATATACGGTTTGTATTGGTTAGAGTACGTCTCTATGAACCAGAGTCTTCCAGGGCTGTTTGACCGTAACTGCAAGAATTCCTAGCCATATTAAAAGAATTGTCACCCAGTACATCTAGAACAAATCAGATGGAAGGTTTACTTACAGAATTCATATATGCTTTGTGAGCAGGATATTACTTCCTTTATCTCTGTGTTTCATTGCTGACTTAATGAAATCAAACTTTAGACTGTTCTCATTTCCATTCATCTCCATTCATTGTCACTTTTTCAAATTGCTTTTAGACTTGGATGTCAAGACATCAGGAAATGGCTCTGTGAAGATTGAACAAATGGAATGTGCGAGCTGCAAAGTAGAAACAGAGAAGGGAACTAGCGTACTGCGGTCAATAAAGGTACCAATACCAAGATGGTCTCCCATCATGGCCTTTCTTTGCTTTCTTTTAAGAATTACACATCATCTTCAGCATCATAAATGACCTTTATCTGAGTATTAATTCTTGCACATGCAATAGTTGATGATTTTACATCCAGTATATTGGCCCCCTCACTCCTGGCCTTCCAAAGGGCCTTGAAGACCTGGTTCTGCCACTTGGCCTGGGGTGGGGAGGGAATACTTCAAGCAGGGAGATGGCTAGCCCCATAGTGGCCCGCTCTCCGCAGCTTGATTTGCCATCTGCTTGGATCTTCCTTTCTTTAGTAT